TTATATGCTGCATAAACAGGTATTTTTTTATTTTCGGGCATTGCTGGGGACGAAATGGGTTGAGAATGTTGTGAGAGTGTCGAGGGAGGTGTCGATGATGATGAATATGATGATGATATGGTGCCACGTGCAGCCCTTTGACAATCCACTACTTGATGAAGGCTCGCCCACGCCACGTCGGTCGTGAGGGTTGCTTTGACCATACGTCACTGCAGCCGAGTCAAATAACCAGGTGAGAGTCCCAGAGGGGACCAACAGGTGAACCTGTGTCATGGGAGACCTGCTACCCTTATAAAGTGCGTATAACAATGCGAACTTGTACAGCGATCGAAATGAGAATTTGATCAAATATTTGTAAATATGCATTTGTAAGAGAGCACACGTTGAGTTTGTTCAATCTACGTGTGTTCTTGCAACGTGCACTGACGTTTATTTTCGAATGTTTTTCATTATATATACTGGCAATTATTCTAATTACACGTAGCGTATCGGAAGCACAGTTTTAAGGTTTACCGAATGTTGGCTGTCAGAGATTATCGAGTAAAAGTGTTTAATACAGTATATTATATTGAAATATGTGGTGTGGAACAGATGTATCTATTGCTCTTATGCAAAACAATGCCACAAATGCCTCGCTGCACGTGGTCACAATAATCCGCCAAGCTCTCTTTTACTATGGCCTCGGGAAATATTGAACGATAGTACCCGGGCCGGTCTGAGATCACTTCGTGTGTCATCAAGAACTATACAAAAACTCCTGCACCGATATCTACAAAACTCACCAGCACAGCAGTATCCGTACGGCAGTATTCTTTCCGAGCAAGCGTGACAATTGCACGTCCCTGAATTGAAACCGTTTCGTGTGAAATAAAAAAACGACGCAACGCTGCCCAGCGGAGTGATTCACTCACCGCATGCGCGCTGTGCATAGACCGCGGTCGGAGGCCCATCTAATTGACTGGTGTGACCGGCTTTGTTGACGTCGGGCAATTCGCTCGAGCACGTCTCTGGATGATAATAATTAAAAAGAAGCACTCGTTCTTCAAAGAAACTAACAGTCGGGGGTGCGAGCACCAGACCTGTATAACTTTTATTCGCAGAGTTTGTCTCGCGAGTAGTTATACCGACGGGTTTAACACCGTCACCAGGTACCCCTTTAATGCTGAGTTCACCTCGGGGGTACCCCCTGGGCCGATTCAGATAATAACCACTCGTGTTGACGGCGAGCGAGAATCGAACTAAGGTGCCACGTGGCGGTGGGGGGGGTTGTAGCGCAGTGCGCTAACAGGTGCGCCACCGCTCCTCACCGACATAACGCCGGGTTCACACCTGAGCGATCAGTTGCGCAACCTTTCGCTCTCAAACTCGCGCAACTTCATAGTTGCCCGCAACTGCCTTGTCCACATCTGAGCGAGAGTATTTGCGCAACAAGGCCATTGAACAGTGCACTCAGGATGATGATAACAACCAATCGCAGTTCGCTAATGCCTACGTGTACGTATCTACAAATCGCCGTGCAGATCCCGACTATTTGGCCAGATGTGAACCTGACTTTGCAAAGGCGAGCACCTATGAAGGGCGGCACGACACACGAGGCGGTGGGTAGCCAGCACCACGCCTGGCCGCCTTTGTCTCCACACCGCTGATGCTTACACACCGCACAAGGTACTCGTTAAAGGCTGAGTCGACCTAGGGGAGACCCAGTACCGGTTCATAAAATCGTCACCGGTGTTGGCCGCGAGCGGGGATCGAACTCGAGTCGCCGGGCTCGTAGCGCAGCGTAGCGCTGACCGCTACACTACCGCTCCACACAATAAAACGAGAATACAAAGATAACGGGACTGTTGGTTCAAGTTCTGTTCGCGAGCAGCACCTCTGAAGTCCGGCACGGCACGCGAGAGGATGATGGGTTGCCCTGCAACCACGCCCGACCCACAACAACAACGACTACAAAGCGGCGGCGCTTGTGCCAGCCAAGCAAGCAAACGGCGTAAATACAGACGGCGACATCCAGCAGCGGCCATGCATGTACGGTCGGTGGAGGAGGGTTGGTGGAGGGGCGTTGAGAAGGGGGGTGTGGGAGGATGAGAGGGGTTGGTGGAGGGGGATGAAAGGGGTTGGTGGAGGAGATGAGAGGATGAGAGGGGTTGGTGGAGGGGAGAGGGGATGAGAGGGGTTGGTGGAGGGGGATGAAAGGGGTTGGTGGAGGGGATGAGAGGGGATGAGAGGGGTTGGTGGAGGGGGATGAGAGGGGTTGGTGGAGGGGAGAGGGGATGAGAGGGGTTGGTGGAGGGGATGAGAGGGGTTGGTGGAGGGGAGAGGGGATGAGAGGGGTTGGTGGAGGGGATGAGAGGGGTTGGTGGAGGGGATGAGAGGGGTTGGTGGAGGGAGGGGGGCATGGGGGGGATGGGGCGGGGAGTGGTGGCATCAGTGCCGGATTAAGCTAGTGCGGGGCCTGTAGGATATGTTATAAAGGGGCCATGAATTGAAAAAGCACGGACTTATTAAAAGACTATTTTTTTTACTTGCATAATAAGGTAATTGTATTTTTTCACTCGCTATACAGCCAGATAATACGACAAATCGCTAACCTTAAACACCCAGTCGTTCATAAAAGTTGAAGGCGGTATAGTACTATTGTGATGGAGCAAGTGCAGAATCACCGAACCGAAAGCGATAGCTTGAAAGTGTTTAGCGCGGGGGGGGGGGGGGCACGAAAGTGCGGGGCCCGTAGCTACTACATACCTAGCTACTACATATGTAGTAGCTACTACATACCTGGCTACAACATACCTAGCTACTACATACCTAGCTACTACATACCTAGCTACTACATACCTAGCTACTACATATGTAGTAGCTACTACATACCTGGCTACAACATACCTAGCTACTACATACCTAGCTACTACATACCTAGCTACTACATACCTAGCTACTACACACGTAGCTACTACATACCTAGCTACTACATACCTAGCTACTACATACCTAGCTACTACATACCTAGCTACTACACACGTAGCTACTACATACCTAGCTACTACATACGTAGCTACTACATACCTAGCTACTACATATCTAGCTACTACATACGTAGCTTCTACATACGTAGCTACTACATACCTAGCTACTACATACCTAGCTACTACATACCTAGCTACTACATATCTAGCTACTACATACGTAGCTTCTACATACCTAGCTACTACATACCTAGCTACTACATACCTAGCTACTACACACCTAGCTACTACATACCTAGCTACTACACACCTAGCTACTACATACCTAGCTACTACATACCTAGCTACTACACACCTAGCTACTACACACCTAGCTACTACACACCTAGCTACTACACACCTAGCTACTACACACGTAGCTACTACATACCTAGCTACTACATACCTAGCTACTACATACCTAGCTACTACATACCTAGCTACTACATACCTAGCTACTACATACCTAGCTACTACACACCTAGCTACTACACACCTAGCTACTACACACCTAGCTACTACATACCTAGCTACTACACACCTAGCTACTACACACGTAGCTACTACATACCTAGCTACTACATACCTAGCTACTACATACCTAGCTACTACATACCTAGCTACTACATACCTAGCTACTACATACCTAGCTACTACACACGTAGCTACTACATACCTAGCTACTACATACCTAGCTACTACACACATAGCTACTACACACATAGCTACTACACACCTAGCTACTACACACCTAGCTACTACACACCTAGCTACTACACACCTAGCTACTACACACGTAGCTACTACACACCTAGCTACTACATACCTAGCTACTACACACCTAGCTACTACACACCTAGCTACTACACACCTAGCTACTACACACCTAGCTACTACACACCTAGCTACTACACACCTAGCTACTACACACCTAGCTACTACATACCTAGCTACTACATACCTAACTACTACATACCTAGCTACTACACACCTAGCTACTACACACCTAGCTACTACACACCTAGCTACTACACACCTAGCTACAACACACGTAGCTACTACGCACCTAGCTACTACGCACCTAGCTACTACGCACCTAGCTACTACGCACCTAGCTACCACGCACCTAGCTACCACGCACCTAGCTACCACGCACCTAGCTACCACGCACCTAGCTACCACACACGTAGCTACAACATACCTAGCTACTACACACCTAGCTACTACACACCTAGCTACTACACACCTAGCTACTACACACCTAGCTACTACACACCTAGCTACTACACACCTAGCTACTACACACCTAGCTACTACACACCTAGCTACTACACACCTAGCTACTACACACCTAGCTACTACTCACCTAGCTACTACACACCTAGCTACTACACACCTAGCTACTACACACCTAGCTACTACACACCTAGCTACTACACACCTAGCTACTACACACCTAGCTACTACACACCTAGCTACTACACACCTAACTACTACACACCTAGCTACTACACACCTAGCTACTACACACCTAGCTACTACACACCTAGCTACTACATACCTAGCTACTACACACCTAGCTACTACACACCTAGCTACTACACACCTAGCTACTACACACCTAACTACTACACACCTAGCTACAACATACCTAGCTACTACACACGTAGCTACTACACACCTAGCTACTACACACCTAGCTACTACACACCTAGCTACTACACACCTAGCTACTACACACCTAGCTACTACACACCTAGCTACTACACACCTAGCTACTACACACGTAGCTACTACATACCTAGCTACTACACACCTAGCTACTACACACCTAGCTACTACACACCTAGCTACTACACACCTAGCTACTACACACCTAGCTACTACACACCTAGCTACTACATACCTAGCTACTACATACCTAGCTACTACACACCTAGCTACTACACACCTAGCTACTCTTGCTCCTGGTTTGCGGGCGATCGATCGACTCACCCGATCTGACGCCGGTGTCTCGGAGGGGCGCCGCGTCCGAGGGGCTTCCGCCGCTGCTGCCGGCCGAGCCGTGGGCTGCTGCTGCTGCGGCGGCGGCGGCGGCGGGGTCGAGGGGGGGCCCGGAGGCCAGGTAGTCCTCCTTGCAGAGGAAGGCCCCCCCGGGCAGGATGTAGAGCTCCTCGCCGGTGCGCAGCTGTTTGCCGCAGAGCGCGCACGTCATGCACGCCACGTGGTAGACTCGCTCGCGTGCCCTGCGCACCAACTCGCTGGGCGAGATGCCCTGGGAGCAGCCCGCGCACTTGGGGCCGAAGCGCCTGTGGGGTAAACGGGGTCGGGGGGGGGGGGGGGGGTGCAGGGTGCAGGCAGAGGACGACGAGAGATGAAGAGCGGTGTTCTTAATTGCCCGCGGGCCTCCTGGCGGCCACCTGGTGGACTTTAGTGCGGCCCCCTGACGTGCTGTCAAACCCCAATGGTTGCAAACGTGCGGCGACGCGCACACACTCAACGTTGTGTAAAGAACTCCGATGTAGACGGACAGAGGGATGGCAATACAACGAGTGGCAGAACGTAACAGAGCGAGAGAGTAAGGGAGACACAGAGATGTGTGTGTGTGTATATATTTTTAGATGCAGGGAGGATGCGCGGAGAGATCGACGAACTTGGAGAAAGTTCATACGGAGAGATGTAAAATGAGAGAGGGAGAAATGGGGGTGGAGATATACAGAGAGTGAAACATGGGCGAGAGAGACAAAGACAGATGCATACATACAGAGAGATACAAAGGGGAGTCAGTAACATATAGAAAGTTAGAGAGATGTTGTGTGGGATAGATGACACAGAGAGAGAGAGAGGCGGATGGAGAAATGCAGTGACATGCAGCGAGACGTCAAGAGATGAGAGACAGTAGTAGACATAAACAGGAACGGATGCAAGTGGGAGGACACACGAACAGAGGCAAGAGCGACGCGTGGTGATGATCGCCACAACCACCACCACAACCACCACCACCTGTGTCTCGCGCGAAGTTCACACAACACACGTGGCAATGTGCTGCCTCCATAAAAAAACAAACACAACCACGCTCGCGTGCGCGTGTGTTACAAACCAACGAGGTCGTTAGCAAGAATCGCATTTACTGCATTCAAATAAAGACGACGCAAAGTGAACACTAAAAAAACAACCGGTGCGTAATAAAGGCTGCACACTGATTCATAATTGATTTTGGGTCAGGTCTCGTAAGTAAAAAGTGTGTCGTGTACCCTCCTCCACCCGACACAGCCAATTTATAAAGTTGTCAATGTATCGCTGCTTCAGCACGCCAGTGTGTTGGAGAACGAGCTATCTGGCTACGTCTGGTGGAGCAGAGTGTAGGACACACATTTCACTGACGAGATCTGACCCAAACATCAGTGATGTAGCATACTCCTGCATTGTTACGAAAGTCTGTACACCATGCATTGAAATTGCGGGAAAAAAACAATTATATCTCTTTGGTTCTTTCGGTAAAGTCACGTAGAAAGAAAATAAATAAAGTAATAGAGTACGACGTTTCGATTGCAACACAAGCAACCGTCATCAGGTAGAACTTAATTTGAGAGAGAGAGACAAAACACAGACACGGAGACACACAGACATACACACAAGCAGAGAGAGACAACACAGAGACACACAGAGAGAGACACACACAACATAGACATACAGAGACCCAATGCCTCTGTGTCGACGCCTTAAATATAGACGGGGGGGGGGGTATGTTAAAGAAAGAGTAACACATATTACTAAGAAAATGAAGAGGACGAGACATATACACAAAGACAAAGATCCCCCGTGTAGGCTTTTTTTTTCAATTAACAGACTGGTTTGGCACGTGCTGTTAGCGAGCACACAAAGCGGGTTGCGTGGGCCCACGCCACGCGCGGCCGACTTTGTCTCCCCGCTGTTGATGTTCACACAGCGCACCGGCACTAATGTTTTTGAAGCCTGGGTCTACCTAGGGAAGGGACACAGACCGGTAAGAAAAAATAAAATCGTTACTGGTCGTGAGTGGGAATCGGTTCGTAGCGCGACGCGATAACCGCTACACTGCCGCTCCCCTAAGAAATAAAAACAAGACAAAGATCTCCCCCATAGCTTTGGCAGGCTGTTGGGGCAAATGCTGGTAGCGAGCGCCAGTGAAGACCGGCACGGTACATAGGCCCAGGGAAACCGATCAAATAATTGGTCGTGAGCGGGAATCGAACTCGGGTGGCCGGGTTCGTGGCGCAGTGTCCTAACCACTGCACTTCGATTATCACGGTTGGCTACGTACGGTGCGAAAAACGTTCGACATGTGTATACGCTACCGTTTCCCCCACATATAAACACTCAGACATTAGTGGTGGTAAGATAATATGATGCATAAGTGTCTCTGGCTATAATTGTTGATTTTTGGGCGTGATAACCACCAAAAGTTTTTCATGAATTCTGTCGTGTTGACCTGCATATTAGAACATCTGCACCGCCAGACTTATGAAACTTCACGTAAGAGGAAGACTATGAGTAATTTAAAGTAATTATTGCATTCCTTTGTCAATCCACTGCTGGATGAAGGCCTCCTCCTCCACGTCACATCGGTCATCGTGGTAGTTTTGACTATATACATCACACCAAACTCGTCAACGTGGATTGTGAAGAGGGAGGACCAGGATCGGTTCAGGTATAAACTTGCCACTTACGTGAGCCACTGCCAGTGATCGAACTCAGGGAGCCGGGTCCATTGCGCGGGGCATTCACTACTGTGCCACAGTTCCACCAGGACATCAAGAACGTCCGCGGGAGGAGCAGAGCTTTTGTCAACACCAGACGACGCTGGCTGTATACTACAGCGAAACGTCGGACATAATTGACAAAACAAACTTTGTTCGCTTTGCATAGTTGCGCCCACGTGACGCACTTTGTGATCGGTGCTCTCTGGTGGTGGAGGGTTATGCTTAAACGCTACATGATATCTACACGACAATGGAATCCAACGTGAACTGTGAATCAACAATGCCCGCGTTAAACACGAAAAGCTCTTCACTTGAACTTATTTGTGCTGCAGGGTATCGTCAGCTCAAGGAGTGCACGAACCTCTCCGGCTGAAAGTCGTGACAGAGTGCCGGCGCTCGGCGTGAACTATGCACATCGTAACATTTGCGTCGCTGACACCAAAGACAAATGCGCTCCCACGTGAACTGCCCACCACCCCTGTCCCCCGCAACTACTTGGGTGGGCACGAATAATCAGTGTCCTCTTTGTATCCAGCTGTTTCGCAGCAGCATGCAAGCGCGCATGGGCGCGTGGAAGTTGGTCGACACAATGGCACCTCTATAAATCATGTATGTTGTTTGACTTGCATCCCACTGGGATTTTTGCACACAGCGTTGGTGTACGGTGCCTTTTCTGGAATATTTTGCTGTTTTTTCCTGGAATTTCTGTTTGCACAGTCACACAAAGTCACTTTAAGATGTTTTTCTTGTTCATGTTTTTTTGTTTGTTGCGGTTGCACCCGATCCAAGAGCCGAATGGCTCACAGGGCTAGACCAAATACATGAAACTGAAATGAAACTGAAATGAAATGTACGTCGGGAAAACTTTACCCAAATTTATATAAAAAAAAAACTGTCCGATATAAATCGGAACCACTTTTGTCAATCCCCACTACCGGGATAAGAGGGCAGCCTCCCCAAATCGTTGCGGGGCATGACGGTGGAGCGGTGGTGCAGCGGTTAGCGCGCTGCAAAACGAATCCGGCGACCCGAGTTCGATTCCCGCTCACGGCCAACACCGGTGACGATTTTCTGAACCGGTCCTGGACCTCCCCTATGTCGACTCGGTCTCAAATGAGTGCCTGGGTGCGGTGTGTAGTAAAAACATCGCCACTGCGGAGAAGAAGGAGGTGTAGGGCGTGGTTGTTGGCCACCCACCCCCTCGTGTACCGTACCAGGCTTCAAAGGTGCCACTCGCTAACAGCACTTGCCCCAACTGTCTGCCGGCACCATGCGGGGGATCTTTGCCTTTGGTGTCTCTTTAAACCCACGTGGGCGATCCGAGCGCGCGCGTGGGATGTGCTGGTGCTGCACGTGCGCGTCGCAGCTGGAGGATCACACGCAGTGGATTTACCGAGTTTATATTTGCCCGTTCGTTAACTGCGAATTACCGATCACACGCTAACAGTGGCACCTCTTTACAAAAACAAAAAGAAAAAGCCCAAGCGGGCTTTTCGTTGTGTATTGTAAACCACGCCGAGACCTTTTGATTCGGCGTTTGATTTTGATGGGTGGGTGGTGCCGACGTGCGTGTGTGTGGGGGGGTGGCAGAGAGGAAGGGAATTTAACAAGCGGGGGGGGGGGGGGGTGTTTGGCTTTGGCGGGGGGTGGCTTGAATGTGGCATGGATGGATGGGGGGGGGGGAGGAGGGGTGAGCACACGCTCACAGTAGCGGGTACTCGCGAGCGTGTGAGCGCCACGGCGAGCGAGAGCCGTAAGCCGCAACGCGCGCGCCTGGCGCAGTGTGCACAGATGTCGCGCGCAACGAGGCTTGGATGGGGAGGGGGGGGGGGACGCTCCAACACCACCACCACCATCACCAACCCCTCTCCCCAAATGAAAAAAAAACTCATCGCGGGCTTCTTCCACCGCAGCATTTCGCTCCGGTTGTGGATTGCAGGGTGAAGGAAACTTATTCCTGGCCTGTCGCCATGATGAAGCTTGTTGTAATTACTGGCGAAACGTCGTTACTCGGATTGTAAATGTTGTGGCTTGGCTCTCTAACACACCGGTTAGTGCTGTACCAGGGACGAATTGGCCACGTTCTGTTTACGTGACAACCCTTACTAGTTGGCTGTGTCGGATGGTGGCGGGTTTTAACGACACATTTACGCGATCTAACCCAAAAAAAACCTGTGTTTGTCGCGAAAGCCTGCCACGTGTCAAACTGAAGGACACTTACAAAGATAAAGACAAAGATTCTCCCGTATAGCCTTAAAATAATTGTGGGACAAGTGCTGTTAGCAAGCGCCTATGAAGTTCAGCACGGCGCACGCCCGTCCGAGTGGCGATGTTTGCACAGCGCGTCAGATGCTCGTTTGAGGCTGAGTCGACCAAGGGGAAGCCCATGTCCGGCTCAGATAATCGTCACTTGTGGTGGCCGTGAGCGGGAATGGAACTCGGGCCGCCGGGTTCGTAGCGCAGCGCGCCACGCTACACACAAATGAAGCAACGCGGTTGACGATCTGTGACCTATCTTCACAGTGACATGGGCCTCGTCGTATTAGACATGACCCTCTTACCAACTA